TTAATTATTTTTAACCTATTACTTTTAAATAGCACGGACACTCGTTCTGGATTATTGCCCAAGGCGAAATAGGCAGTAATCTCCAGCCCCTTAGTTCCTTAAAGTTTAACTTTGACGATCCACCATTCCGCGACATAATAACACTCAAAGAACTTAGGTAAATGTTTATTATGAAGCTCATGTATATAGTACATTCTATTAATTTCTACTAACGTATCAAATCCCTATAGCTTAAGTGTAATCAGGTACTACGCGGACAATCCTGGTGTCTGGATGCTCCATTGTCACATTGAATGGCACATTGAATTGGGAATGGTAGTTCAATTGGTCGAATTGCCAGAGATATTCTCGAAATACGTTGTTCCTAATGATGTTCATAGGCTTTGTACAAGTATATCGTAGAAGTATTGTGTTAATGTTCTTTTCTTTACCAGTTAGGCCGAATTTCTTTGTTGTATTAACGATATCTTCGATGTTTTTTGCTGTAATTTACATTAAAAAATAAACATTATTTTTATTGATCAATATCAATTTGATTTACAGGGTGAGATAAAATTCTTGGAAAAAATTTTTTAAACTAAAATACATTATAAATATATTTCAAACTAAATTAAATATAAAAAGAAGTTTTAATAAATCTTATTTATATTTTTTCAAATTTTTCGTTTTTTTTTATATAATAAATATTAAATATCAAAAATTTGACTTTTGGCTTATAAAACAATTCCAAAATAAACTCATGTTATTAAAACTAATATGTATTGTATATTAGATAAAAAATTTATAAAAACAATTATTATTTATCATTTAAATATTTTATTTTATTTTATTTAAAAAAAAGCAATTTTTTACCAATATATTGTTGGCCTGGAAAATGGCAAGTCAGTCGTTTCACCAGTCCAATGTTCTCATAACTAAGGTAAGTCGAGGTGTGTAAGATTGATTTAGCCAGGACTTTTCGTTATTAACAAGCTTTTCTCTTCTTTCCCAACACCAGCTCTTCTTTTGATAATCCCGGCTATGTCCTATAGCAGCAATTATCCTTCCTTATATGGTGTATACTTGAAAAGGTAAGTTGTTAATTACAATATTCCTTATTTGTATTTCAATTCTTATTATTATTTCTTTTTTTTCCAATTTTCTATCTCTCTTTTTGCTTATACATTGGCATTACTATTTATATCATTGCTACTACTAGAAAAACAATTAAGGAAAAATAGACTATCAGAGCTAAAACAAACTATGGATAAGTTATGTAAGCTTTATGACTACATTTTCTATGCTAATTACTAATGCTACTTCACATTTCCAGGGTATGTGACTATACCCCGTGACTTTTATAGGACTAACAATATTTTTAAAAAAGCAAATTTAAATTTAAATTAGAAACCTATTGTTTATTAATCGATAATTTGAATTTTAACAATTTTTATTAAATATAATTTTTAATTTTATATTATTATAAAGAAATTGTTTATAAAACTATAAAGTAAGCAAGATAAACCTATTTATAAATATTTTAAATTTTATATATATAGTCTTGATCAAAAAAAACCAGAATTAAAATTTTTTTATAATTTAATAATTATTTATTCAAATCAAAGAATATTTTAAATATATATTTATTAAGACTTATAATTTTTAAAACAATTACAACCTTTTATTTATAAAATTAAGTCAGAAACTATAATTTTTATTATAATAAATTTTTCAAAAAATTTAATTATTAAATTAAAAAAATTTTGACTTATAAAAAATTATAAAAAATTATATATATTTTTTTATTTTTTTTTAAGGCTAAGTTGTAGTATATGTATAGATTTTATTAATGTTTTAATTACAATTACAATTATCTATACATAAATAATTTACTAGTTATTACTAATGTTAACTCCTGCTATTCATCCTTTTTACTAAAATACCAACTTATACCCAGAAGTGGATCCATACACTAGCTTTTATCACTATATAATAGTCCTATAACTATTAGGTAAGTACTTATTATATTATATCTTCACTCTGCACATGTCCCATATGGTAGCTGAAACCTTCAATACAAATATGTATTTTCTAATGAATGTTTTGATTTGACCATTAGTTGATACTAATTACCAAATCTAGGGGCCACTTTGGTCAAGTGATGCATGAGTTCTTAAGAGACTTTTCCTTATCCTTTTAGTAGATACTCCAAATGGGCCAGTTGACATAAGCTGTCAAATCTAGAGATATAAATATCAAGCAGTATACAACTTTTGCCTACTCTGTCTCACCACATGGTATTTATATTCAGGATGCAGGTAGTCATAGTTTCATATATTAGCTTCAAGGTCTTCTTACTTTGGTAATTGGGTTTTATTATTATAGAATAACTTCTGGCAATCATCATACTTCAACTGGATAATTATTGCATCATAACATCTTTTCTAGTAATCACAATTTCAATACTTACTGGATTAGCATATGAAATGGCTTTGTATAAGAAACAGCATATAACAGACTATGGTTCCAGATACCATATAGATTTTATTCAATTGCCTTTACCTAGAATTAAATCAATATTTTATGATCTGACCTGTGAAATATTAACCATTATACTATAGACCCACAGATCTAAAATATTTTTTATTATATATAAATAAATTTATTAAATTTATATAATTTTTAATTCTGTAATTTTGAAGAAAAAAACACTTTCCTGTTTCCCTCAAATTTTTGAAAAACTTTCCTTTTTAGGAAACTTTAATGAGACAAGTTTAGGGTCTTGTCAAGTTATCTTTTCCTCTAAAAAGAAACTTTTTCCCTTCTTTTACCACTATCGAGGATAAAAATTCTCTTCTAAAGAAGCTGACTGGTTGTCCTCTTTTGCGATAGCCTAAGAGGTTTAGGTTAAGTAGAGCTGGATGTTATGGGTGGAAGGTCAAATCCCGAATTTATTGGATGAAAGAATAGCTCTGCTTCTTTAAGACAAAGAGTTACCTCTGCTAATACCGATACAACAAGCCTTACATATTCTAAAGACCTGTTACATATGAGTCAATTTTAAGAGTTTGGTTGTAAAGACTCAAGCTACATAAGGATGAGACTCTTGGTCGAATTCCTCAAGTCTGGGTACCTTGTGGATGAAGGTTGTATAGAGAAAGGCCTTTGGTTTGACATCTTTTTCACTCATATATACAGAAGCATCTTGGTTTTTTTTTCTTACAACAAAAACCGAAATCAGCTTACCTGCATCAAAAGATTAATACATTATTCCAACCAATTACAACTCATCAAAATCGTATCATCGATTACCACAATGATATAACAATAACAATAACAACAATACCATCACCAACAGCCTATCACGTGTTAATATCAAATAGATAACCTTGAAGAGAACAATAATGTGGACATTAACGTATGTGTTGTCATATATCATTTCTACCTCAGAAGAAAGATAAAAACAGAGAACTAGTAGCAAGGAGGCACTTTAGATGGACAGGGCCAATGTGGTATGCTAAAGTTCCTAGAAACGTACAAATTAGTACAGTTCTGAGG